GGTGGTTTTTTTTTTGGGGGGGATGTGGGAGCTCGATTTGCTGATAAAATCGGAATTTTGGGAAGGGAAAGGTGGTTTTTTTTTGGGATGTGGGCGCTCGATTTGCTGATAAAATCGGAATTTTTGGGGGGGAAAATGTTGGAATTTTTTGGGTGTCATGGGTTTGTATTCCCAGATTTCTGCTTGGGAAGTGGGGAGGTCTTTTCCTTGGAATTCCTGGAGAGGGTTTGGGGTGGAATTCCTTAATTTAATTAAGAATGAGGAGTTTTGGGGCCTCAAAAAATAAAAAAACCAAAAAACACCTTTTTTTGAAGAGCCATTCCAGGATTTTTTTTTCAGTGTTTTAGGGAACCGGCTGCTTGGAAAAGCAAAGGGCTGGTTTTTCCCAAAGTTTTTCCCAAATTTTCCCAAAGTTCTCCCAAAGTTCTCCCAAATTTTCTCCCAAATTCTCCCAAAGTTTTCCCAAATTTCTCCCAAAGTTTTCCCACAGTTTTCCCAAAGTTTTCCCAAATTTTCCCAAAGTTCTCCCAAAGTTTTCCCAAAGTTCTTTCAAAGTTCTCCCAAAGTTTTCCCAAATTTCTCCCAAAGTTTTCGCAAAGTTCTCCCAAAATGCCCCAAAGTTCTCCCAGAGTTTTCCCAATTTTTTCCCAATTTTTTCCCAAATTTCTCCCAAAATTCTCCCAAATTCTCCCAAAGTTTTCCCAAATTTTCTCCCAAATTCTCCCAAAGTTCTCCCAAAGTTTTCCCAAAGTTCCCCCAAAGTTCTCCCAAATTCTCCCAAAGTTTTCCCAAAGTTTTCCCAAATTCTCCCAAAGTTCTCCCAAATTTTCTCCCAAATTCTCCCAAATTCTCCCAAAATTTTCCCAAAATTTTCCCAAATTTCTCCCAAATTCTCCCAAAGTTCTCCCCAATTTTCTCCCAAATTCTCCCAAAGTTCTCCCAGAGTTTTCCCAAAGTTTTCCCAAATTCTCCCAAATTCTCCCAAAGTTCTCCCGCAATTTTCCCAAATTTCTCCCAAATTCTCCCAAATTTCTCCCGAAGTTCTCCCAAATTTCTCCCAAAGTTCTCCCAAAGTTCTCCCAAATTCTCCCAGAGTTTTCCCAATTTTTTCCCAAATTTCTCCCCCAGTTTTCCCAGAGTTTTTCCCCCCAGTTTTCCCAAAGTTTTCCCAATTTTTTCCCAGCGTTTTCCCAATTTTTTCCCAGATTTCTCCCCCAGTTTTCCCAGCGTTTTCCCAGCGTTTTCCCAGCGTTTTCCCGATTTTTCCCCCCCCGGCAGGTGCGGGAGATGAAGCGGGAGAGCCTGGAGCGCGACCTGCGCTTCGTGGGCTTCATCGTCCTCTCCTGCCCCCTCAAAGCCGACTCCAGGGCCGTCATCAGGGAGATCCAGAACGCTTCCCACCACGTGAGGAAACAGTTCCAGGGGGAAAAACACCTGGAAAAACCCCCCCCCGGGGAGATCGGGGAGGGAGGGACGACTCTGGCCTGGGGAGACGATCCCTGAGCGGTGGGAGATGAGGGGGAAAGGGGGGAATGGAGGGGAATGGAGGGGAAAACGGGAAAAAAGGGGGAAAATGGAGGGAAAATGGAGGGAAAATAGAGGGAAAATGGGTGGGAAAGAGGGAAAGTAGGGGGAAAATAGAGGGAAA